AGGCTCTCATTTTAAGGCCACAACTATTTTGGTGGTATATGTGTTCTAGCTAGACTTCCTTCCTGCTTTTAAAATCCTGACGTGGTCTAAGAAAGTTGAGTCAACTGTTGAATGAAATGCAGTGGTTAAATTTGGAGATATATAGTACCTCATAGTGCCTAACCTATCTTCGGACTCCTGTCTGTTCTCCGTTCTCTGGGGCTGCAGCATCTGAGACACTCTGTGCGGCACCTGCCGTATCTGGTTGGCAGCCCAATGACTGGATTCTACCTTGTTCTCTGGGTACGTACTGAACTTGTAAACCAGGTTAATGACTCACGTTAATAATCTTCCTCTGTTGGATTTAAGTGGTCACTAACCTGTGTTTCCTTTCTGCAGTTTCCTGTTATAGACAACCTTGCAGCTGCTACTCCAATCCGCCAGTTTCTTAATAAATGCCTTTTCAATAATCCCACTGTCTGTCTTGACTAAATACTGGGTCCTCAGTTCTCAGCGGTGACTGAAGTTGACTCCATGATCTTAATCTTCAATTGTCTATGTGGGTCTTAAACTAAACAGAGTTCTCATGTAGACATCCTCATTCAATGTAATGTTGGGAAAAGCTGGTAACTGTAATTCTGTGGTGTTTGTGTGTACAGTGGTAATCTAAGCTCTTTGAAAAAAATAACCTTGCCTTTTGCTCCTATATTCAGAAATAATTAGTTTCCTAACTCCTCTCATACAGGGGCAAATCCAGAGGGGGTGCCAGGGGGACAAAATCCACCCTTAATTAATCATTGGCCACCCCTATCAGGGGATTTGTTGTTACCACTGGAATGTATATCACCACCTATGGAACAAGCAGTTCTCTTCTAAACCAGGGTTTAGAAGTTTAGTGGCTCTGTGTCTCTGTGTTGCCCTGCAACAGACTGTCGATCTGAGACAGAGTGTACACCGCCTCTCACCCATAGACTGCCGGAGATAGGCCCCACCATGACCCTGTAGGTGAGTTTTTCTGCAGTCATTTAGGAATTTTCTATATTAATATTCTAATACATAAAGATTAAAAACATGACTGGATTAGTGGATACTTATTGGGACCCAAATGCAGAGCTGACAAGGCAGAGAAAAGTAAAAATACAGAAGCCATAATCCAGAAACAATTGACAAGAAACTCAGGAACCAGAAACTAGGAGAAACCACCAAGGAATAAAATGGAAGAATGAGGAAATAAAGAGAATCCAGCAACCAGTAACTGTAGAGGAGGAGTAGGCTATATATGACAAACAGAACAATGAATGGAATAATCAACTGGGGTGTGGACAGAAAGATCCAGAAGGGAAAAGAGAGTGGCACAAGGGGGCAACAGAGACTAAACAAGAAACACAACAGTGCTTAAATATAACTAGAAAATAACTTGGATGATACTCAATGGAAAAGAAAGCAATGACCTAGAAAACACAGAATGACATAAATCAAAGTGTAACTGAAAGCTCAAAAATAAAACAGAACCAGAAAGGGCTGAACCATGACAGAACAACTGCTCAACCCATTTAATCATATATTCATTCAAATGCAAGTTTATTTAAATAGCACAATTCAGTACAAAGACAATTCAAAGGGGTTTACATGACAAACAACAAAAATAAAAGGAACATAAAAGCAGTGAAAGATGAAACATGATAAAAGCAGGTATTAAAATAAAGAAGTTAGACCGCAACCTTAAACTAATAATATACAAACTATGAATGTACAACAACTCTAAACAGCCCACCTGTGACATTCATTATTTATAGCCTTTAATTATAATTTTTTTTTTATTCCACATCTGCATGTGGACCAAAATCATATTAAAGGTCCATCTGTTTCTGAATTGTTTCTGTCAGTAACAATATTAGCTCTGTTCAACCTGTTAAATGGATTATTTTTACTAAAGTAAAATGAATCATTTAAAGGAAAACATTCACGTTAATTTCATAAAAACATTCCTTTTAGAAACATAAACAGGAAATCTGTATGTTTATAACCCTAAATGTGCTTCCAGTTTCTGATGCATAAAAAATTTACCTTCTAAAATTAAAACAGGACACATTTCCTGAGACCAAACTGTCTACCAAATAAATAAATAAAAGTCATATAAAGGAAAGATTACATTTTTTTTTCTCTCTCTCTCTACTTTCTAAACGCACTGGAATATACAAATATCCTTTGTTCTTTGAATTCTTCCACAGCCATACTTTGAATACAGCATTACAAGTTTTGCATATGGTTGCATTGTCCTGTAATTTGCATCTTACATTTAAACTCAGGTTTCTTAGTAATGAATTTTGGACTAAGACATAGCCATATTTTGTAAGAGAAAACAGATACATATATTATCTCCAAAAGAAGACTTTTTAAACTGACAGCATAAAACAAAATAGTTCATATCCACGATTCTAACTTTACTCTGCATTACCATAACATCAGTTCTAATCAAAGAATTTGAATAAACATGTAAATAAATACTTTAATTAATAAATAAATGACACCAGCGAGAAAATTGGGTCATATTCTGTTTTGTTGCATTACCATAAGTGCTAGCTTAGTTAGATCTCATGTTTAACGGGAGCTCAGACAGCGGTAATGCAGTGCTCTGGGTCATATGAATTAAAAACGTACATTTCAGACTTTCTAAAGTAGTTTTCATATTACCATGAACATCCTGAGATCTTTTAGATGTGCACCGAATGTGCTTTCTTGTTAGTCATTTGGACCTTAAGTAAATGTATTTAGGAGGCAATGTCAAACTAGAATATTTGCTTCTTTCATACTTTTGATTCTCTTCTCAGTGTCTTGCTTTACAGCACATTTGGTGTTTATGTTTAAAGCTGCATTTTTAGATTTTTAACCAGCTGTTAGCTGAATTTAAGATGTATTTAATAGTTGTTGTTTTTTTTCATGTCAGTACTTTGTATGTTTAGATGCTCCCTGCAGATTGTTGTTCTCAAAATCATATTATATAATTTAAGAGGATCCGATTCATTTTTGAATTGGTAATGTGAACTAGAGGTCCAATTTATGGCAGTCTAAACTCCCCTTAAACACAAGAGCTAGCTGTCATAAAACTTACCTGATCAGACATATTTTTTCCTTCTCCAAGAGATAATCCAGTGTGAGAATTATGGCGTTGTCTTTACAAGTACGGTAAGTCCATGATTTCTCAACCTGCTGATCCAAAGTGGAGTGCAATCAGTTTATTTCTACAACAGTGGAGCGTTAGTTGTGCAGTGTTGCTTATGGCCTTCAGAAACCTGGAACCTGGAATTTAAGTTATAAATGAAATTTACTTAGTGCTTCTTAACAAGTAAAAATAAAACAGTCCTGACATTGCTACCATTCTACCAGTAATGGCCTAAAACAGGATGGACAGGAACTGCATCAAAGTTTTCCGGAATAAAACTTTACAGCACAATATAGTAACTGTTCCAACTAAAAAAAAAAAAAAAGGTTGTATAAAGACACTTTCATTTAAACTGACTATGTAAACTGAAAGCCTTCGTCATTGTGAAACTATCCAACTAACTATCCAATTTTTATGTATATTCTTGGAGCATGCTATAAACAGTTATATATATATATATATATATATATATATATATATAGTGTCTAATCCCATCTTCTATTGTTGTTAGAGCCAAAGTGGACCTAATGAGACACAACCAATGAGGACACCATTAAGGACATTAATGATAAAAAAGTTAGTGAGGAATTTACCAACTGCATGCTGACTAGCCACAAAGCTTCCACAGGATGTCCTATGAATGGATGAGACAAACATGGAACTTTTTGCAAAGCATATCAGGTCCATGTTCATAGACGAAGGAATGAAGCTTATAAAGTAAAGAACACTTCCTACTATAAAACATGGAGGAGGCACTATTATTTGTGGGGCAGCTTTGCTTCATCTGAAACAGGCCGTCTTGAATCTCTGCAGGATACAATAAAAGCTCAAGAAGACGATCAAGGGATTCATTCATTGTCAGAAAGCTCGGTCTTAGTCACAGGTCATTAAACAGGATAATGACCCAAAACATACAGCTAACAGGAAAACATTGGACTACTTTCAAGTGGCCCTCAATGAGTCCTGACCTAAATCCTATTTAGCATCTTTGGAAGCAGCTGAAGCATGCTGTCAGGAAAAGGCAGGCTTCAAACCTGTGAAAACTGGAGCAGTTTGCTCATGAGTAGTGAAACAAAATACCTGCTGAGGAGCAGAAGTCTCACTGAAAATTAACAATAAAAAATGAACATCATTGATCTCACAATGGAGAAATTCCCTTCTGCATCTTAACCCATCCCCTTGGAGAGCAGTGGGCTGCCACTGTGCAGCACAATCGGGGGTTCAGGATCTTGCTCAGGGACCCAGAGTGCAGGATTTGGGGATCGAACCGGGTACTTGCAACCTTCTCAGAGCACAAGCACCTTGCTGTAACCACTAGGCCAATACTCCTGTAACTATTAAGTCACAGGAATCGGTTTATTGCAGTGATGTACAGTAAATGTCCTGCTTGTTATGTAGTGTGCATGTTTTTCTGTTTAAAGGTCTATGAGGCATTCTCTGGTACTGATTTGTGTTATTGTTTTTTTTTATTCACTGCCTTGTTACACCTTTTTAGGGTTAATGAATATAGTTGAAATGAAAATCAAGAATGAAAAATGTGAAATTTGGGAAAAATTTGAAAGAAATTTGGAAAATTAAAGATGTCAAAAGACCCTAACTTTGTGATATTTTCCACATTAAAGGTGCTTTACTAATATAATTGTGCATACCTAAAACCTAAATTATTTCAAAAGTGATCATGACTAAAAATGATTAAAGGTCGGGTTGCTGTAATAGCAGTTCTAGGAAGGGCAAATCTCATCCACTATAGCAGCTAATCTGCATAAAGATTAAACATTGCAATATAACATTCTAAGTTATAACAACATGAAATAAACTCAGTCAGCATAATACAGTAAAATATTTTATTTAGAAATGATTATTCATTTAAAAAATAAGTTTAGGAAATCCAGTGATATATGGGAATAATTAATAATCAGATTAAAGTGCAAAAATACAATTTGATATAATGCATTTGTACAAAAATAACATTGGAATTGATATTTGTGTGTCACTAACATGACTTCTAGAAAAATATCTTGCACACAGCGTCCCTCTTTAGGTTACAAACATTGGAATGAAACATTTGGGGTGACTAGAATCAAGAGGTCTTTTTCATTTTGAGCTCCATTTCATGTTCCACATATCCATTGTTGAGTTCGCTGCCAAATCGAACTCTGAAAACCTCAAACAAGGTCTTTATTAAGGCTTATTTCTAAGGAAAATCAAATGCTGGAGTATTTCTTCCGAAAGGAATGTTCACACAGAAAGCTGCACCTCCAACGGCTGAGATGAGAAAAGAAAAAAGAAAAGTCTTTGGCTGTTGTCTTTGGTCCTGTTGTTTTTCCAGTGTTCCTGGTCCCTTTCCCTGTTGCTGCAGTGAATCACTTCATTTTGGCCGGCTTTAGTTCCTTGACCTGCATGTGTAATGTTTTGTGGACAGCCAACGTCCTGGACTGACAGAATCCCTTTCCGCACTCTTGACATTTGAAGGGCTTTTCTTTGGAATGAATGTATCTGCAGGGAAAACAACAAGGCAGTGCATTATGGTACAGGAAGGCTACCAGAGCAGTTTTTTTTTTGTTTAGTTTTTTTTTACATTTTGTGCATAAAGTCAAGGACATACATGCAAACAATTTAGCGTCAACACAAACAGAACTTAATTCATGCTACATGCCTGCTACCTTAGGAGACCTAAATTCCAAATGCCTTTGCAAACCTGTCTCTTCATGTGGATGCTGCCTTATTTAGAAATTGTTTAATTTGGATTTCAAAACAGAGAAAGAAAGTGATTGGATTGTGATTCGAATAGAAATGTCTAGTAAAGTTGAGACATGGTAGATGCAAGATTTCTTACTGGTCAAACTTAAGAAGTTGGGTCCCTTCTTTCGAGCAGTTCTATTGTATAAGCTAAGCTAATCCAACAAATCTTCTAAATGCCGCAGAGTCTGTCATTATTCGGTCTCCGCTGTCAAAACTAATAATTTAAATGCAAATGCCTATATTTTAAATTATCCCTGCTTAAACAGGAATACAAAAATAGATTTTGATTCATTTGACTAAATATGAAGTGATTATATATGCTAAATAATCAGTACTTTTGAAATAAAATCAAAGACGTTATATAAATAAAGCATGAATCATTTTTCTCACCTGTGGTCCCTGAGATGGTCCTGTCTTCTGAAGGCCTTGTGGCAGATGTCGCAGGTGTAGGGCCTCTCATCTGTGTGCGTCCGCTCATGGATCAAAAGGTTGTAAGATTTTGTAAAATGTCGGCCACAAAACTTGCAGACAAATTCCTTCTTGGTCTTAGAGGGCAGTCTGCCTCGGCTGGACTTGCGCTCCGGCGAGGACAGCTTGGTCACGTCCAGCAGGCATCCCAGGCTGGCTGAGGTCTGGTGTTGGGATGAAACCTGCGCTGCTGCAGCTGCTGCAGCAGCAGCAACCCCCGTCATGCTCAGGTCCTCTACCTTCAGATGGTCCTCCTGTGTTGCTGCTGCTGCCAGGTTGGCGAAATCAAAGCGTGGTTTGCTCTTGGAGCTCTGCAGCAACCCTGTTGTGTCCAGCTTCGGTTGCAGAAGGTGGGGGAATATAGGGATGGAGGCCATGGAGGAGAACTGAGGAGGAAGCTTGGAAAATGTGCAGCGGGGGAAAGCCAGAGGTTGGTAGCCGAGGGTCCACTGCTGAAGATGGATGGCATGGAGAGCACTGAAGCTGTAGATGCTCTGAAAATGATCAGGTGGCAGCTGGAGACCAGTGGAGGTCTGGATGAGGGAACAGTTGGCCAACTGAAGGGATGGATGAAGAGGGACAGGGGCTGGTAGAGTCTTACTGCCCATGGCTGCTACTGCAAATCCTACAGGCAGGCTGATAAAGATAGAAAATAAAACAAAAATAAATTAAAAGTGTTCTAATCAAACAGTTTAAGCAGTGAAACAATAAAACAAAAATAATTTTCAATGGAAATTATTTGAAAGGACATCAAATACTGTTTCTTTTTTCTAAATATGTATATAGCTAAAGCCTAAAACCTATATAACGATCTTTTGAGTTCCCAGTCCTGCAATGCATGTCTAATAAAGCTACAGAAACTTTAGCTGACACCTTCAGCTGCACCCCATCCTGTGTCCAATCTCCTTTCTTCTTAGGAATAAAAATCCTTAATCTCATAAAACCACCATAAGCAGCAATAAACTTTATTTTTCCCTTGGGCAATTTAGGAAGAATTTTGGCCCACCTTTGTTTCCAGTGTTCAGTTCATTAATTTTTATGCACATTTCTTTCTGCGTATTTTTTCTTAAGATCTTACTGTAGCATTTGCAATGATTTGACTTTTACTGGGCTATTCTAATGCTTAAAACTATATAATTTGGTATAAAACAAGCCCTAATCATTACACCTCCACTACCATGCTTACACTAGTGGCTAGGGCATAGAGCTTCGAAGGTTCAGAGTTCGCTCCCCACTCTCAAAGACCACCACTGTGGTTCTCTGGGCCAGAACCTTAACCACACACTGCTCCTGGGGCGCCCCACAATGGCAACCCACTGCTCCCCAATGGGAAGGGTTAAATGCAGAGGTAAATTTCTCCAATGTCAGATCAATAAAGTTTAATTATTATTTTTTATTGGGGAGTGGCGGCCTAGTGGTTAAAGCGTAGAGCTTGGAATCCTGACGTTCTGGGTTCGAGCCTGTTTTCTGCAAAGTTAGACCCTTAACCCAACACCGCTCCCCGGGCACCGCACAATGGCAGCCCACTGTTCCCCAAGGGGATGGGTTAAATGCAGAGTTCATTTTGTTGCTCTGTACTTGTGACTGTGTTATGACAATTAAAAAAAATAGTTATTAAAAACAAAAATAAGGCTAAAAAGATCCTTAAACTCTCAATTTTTTAAGATTAACTCTGGCTTAAAAGATTTACGACCAGTTTTTAAACTATTTGACTCAATAACTGCAACCAACGTCTCCTTGAATCGAAAATATAGAAGCACTGCCAACATATGTGCATACTCCCAAAGCTGTGTGTGGGTGTTTCCTGTTCCCAGAAACATGCCCGGGGCTGTTGAGGGCAGAGAGACAGAATGACAGCATTCAGCCACAGAAATACCTGCGAGGTGTTACATCAGGTTTGATAAGCTGGAGTAACAATAGACAATAATGTTGCTTTGTCTAAGGCAGACGATGACAGACATGAGCAGCAGCTCCAGGTTTTAGAGCACAAACCACACCTTGGCATAGTGTCACTCATATGAAACCTGCTAACAGCTCTGCAGCTGCTGTTGAGTTTGTGAAAGTGTACCGACCAAAAGGAGGACTTGTTTCCTTTTTTATGAATGAACCAGAGAAGCATGTGCATGACTGCATAAAATCTGCCATATTTTTATGTTATTGTTAATTGGAAAAGTGAGAGTTTCACGATTAAGTCAATGGTCATATCTTATTGCACAGTAGTTTCTGTCAAAATGTCTTTGGCTCACGTTGTTTTGCATACGATTTTAGCAAAGACCAAGTTCATTTTAAAATGATAAAACATGATAGGCAGCTTGTAGCAGAACTTAGGGCCCACAAGCAGAAATAAAAATTGTGCATAATATCTTTCACAAAGTTGCTGATTCATCGCTCTGACTATTTTTTTCCCTTTAGCCTGCAATTTATTTTGGTTAAACAATTTAAACTACTTAGTTACAGGCAGTAAAACATCTGACTTCTTCTTGTAATGATCTAAAACTCAATCTGTTATGGTAATGCAGTTGTGGTTAAGAACAAAATGTCATAAAAATACAGTGATCATCTTTGTTCATGTAAGTATGAGCATGATCTAATAAATCCCATTTTTTTATTCTTAGAGAATAAAAGACCACATCTGAAGGAACATCTAAATAAAATCTAACAAGATGAAATCACTTCCATGTCATGAACCAGTTTCGCAGAAAATTAAAAGCATAAACTTTGTTGGCTGGTCCAGACATTTCAGAGTTTTATGTCCTGTCTCCTTTCATTCAGAGTGTAAATATTCTGGGTCATAATGGAGACGTTATCAACAAATACTTTGATGACATGAGCAGCTGCTAACTGTAAGCAAATTTTATGTTTCAAAAATCTGTTTCCAAATCTGTTTATTACAGACTGGGCTAAAGGCCGTCGACAACATAAAGAAAAAAATGTCGTTAAAATACAGTTATATATGTTTTTACTGACTTCCTCTTGTTGACAATGGATATTAGAAGCAACTGGCTCTCAGGTATCATGAACACTAAACTTGACAAGTTTAACAACTAAATGTGAAACTTGATGCTCTAACAAACCTTTTTAATTGATATAAAAACATTTTTAGGCATAAGATATAATTTATGTTTTAAAAAGTGACACATTAAATGCCTTTTTTTATTGTATTATGTGTATTTGTATTACTTTTCACATCAATAAGCAGCAATTCTTTGCAATCTTCTTTATAATTTTTTGTCATTTAGAACAGAAAGTAGGTGAATCAGTGGAAAAGTTAATGACATAAATATATATAAAAGTCATCATATGACTTAGTGAAAGAGCAATAGGATAACTTACCATGTAGTTTAGCAAGGAAACAACTAAACTTTAATTTAAGTAAGCTCCTAAGAACTAATCTGAAAAAATATGGCAGAGAATCATACTCTCTTTGAGAAATTATCCTCCAACATCTTTTCTTTGAAAAAAAGAAAAAAAAAAGTTTAGTTATTTTTTTTTGTTATTTTTTTACAATCCCTATTTAATTGTAGCAAGGCCTAAAAACCTATGAATATACGTGTATAACAGTTATAAAAGGTACACCAGACTGAATATTTTTTTTTGGTTCACTTGTAAAATTATGAAATTTGTGGATGACCCCATAGTAAATAAACAGGTGTTGCATGACGGTGCAATTTGTAACACTGTTGCCTTGCTACAAGAAAGTTGCAGACTTTGGTGTTTACATGTTCTCCACATGCATGTGGGGCTTCTCTCTGGGTACTCCAGCTTCCTCCCACAGTCCAAAAACATGACTGTTATTGGCTTTACTATATTCTCCTTAGTTGTGAGTGTGTGTGTGTCTGCATGGTTGTGTGTCTTGGTGTCTCTGTGTTGCCCTGCTATACATTGGCGACCTGTCTATGGTGTACCCCGCCTTTCGCCCATAGACTGCCAGAGATAGGCACTGACCCCACCGCAACCCTGATGGGATAAGTGGAAGATGATGAATGGATGGACAAATGATCCTAGACTGAGAACTTAATTAACATAAAAAACAGCTAAATAAGAAAACAACTAAGATGATTAAGGCATTTAGTGAATAACTAAATATGTGCATTAATAGGATGATAATAACTAAGTCGTTAAGAAAGAGATTAAGTAAATATATATACAATGCACGTATCATATAAAAAAAAAATCTATAGATCATTATGTGCATTATATTTGTGTTCAAAGGGGCTATAACAGATGGCCGTTTATTGACTTTTCATCGAAAAATTTAGAAGTGAACCTATAATCACTCTATCTAAACACATTTAATGATAATGCACCAAAACAATAGTTACAAAGGTAATCAATATTTCAAAATAACTTAGATAAAAGTTGAAAAAAAAGTGTAACTTTTCTAACTGACATTTTCAGTTTGTAACTAATCAATACAGTATATATATAATCCATGTATCTTGATTAAAGAGCTAATGCTGATTTTATGGAGCAGGTATTCAATAAAGGAAGAAAATCTGAGTTTGATCTTGAACTCAACAAGACAAAAATGATCCTTGTCTCTTCTGTGTAATTTTAGATCCTCTGAATGCTGCTGAATGTGTTGAGATGACGGTGAACTCTCATTAGACGACACCTGATGCTTAAATATACAGTTTGTTTGGTTATCATTTTCATGAATCAAAATTCGATAAGAAAGTGTACTGAATAACCTTTAAAATATGGTGAGAGGGAATAAAAAAAATAGTATTTAAAATAAATCGATCAGAAAAAAACACTTTAGATAATGCTCACCATTAAAAAAAAATAAGTTTTACATTACAATTTTTTGAAAAGCCTATTTTATTAGTTTACCCCCAGCTTTGTATTTGTTATAAAACAGTGTTAGAAAGTTTAACAATTTGTTAAAAGCTGCAGATTTTCAGCAGTCCTTCCTGAAAGTGCAGAAAAGGTTGCTAATGAGGAGCTCAAACAGCCCCCCCACCAGCTCCTCCTTTCTGATCACCACGCAGAAGTAATTGACTTTTATGTAGGAGGTCATTAGAGGAGATAAGTTCCCTGCTCCCGTTAACCCTTATATGTCTGCAGTGGCCTCCAAGGTGCTTTGTGGCAACTTCAGTTTGGTCAGGACTGTGAGATTCAGCACCTCAGAGAGCTTTGCAGTGGGACACTGCTTCTCACCCTCACCTCATCACACTCAGAAAAGATAAGCAGGTCTCAGGCCCTCTGTTGAGTTTCTTTCACTTTGCTGCAATAATTTACATTTTAACATGTTTGGGAGAACAGAAGGTAGGAAAAAAAACAGTGAAAAGTAGTAGTAGTCTTTTTAAACGTTTTAGTTAACCTGAAACATAGGTAAATTAATTATAAATATATAAACATATTACTTTATTTAAAAAAATCTCTTAGTTAAATTGAATATTAGGGATAACAAAGCACAAAAACTTTCTAAAAAGGTATCGTTGCTGCACAAAATCATAATAAGGATAACATCAGAAATGGAGTTTAATATTAAGGCCTGTTGTAGTTTACAGAAGACTTCTCAGAAAGTTTGCTCTTTTTTTTCTGTTTTTCATGTGCACACATGTGAAGCTGCAGTAGTGATTTGTAAAAGTTGTGGACCTTATATCACAGATGATAAATGGCTGTGTGTTTGGAGAATGCGGCGTCCTTGTGCGCTCGGCAAGAGAGAGGTTTCTTTTTCTGCGCTCTGAAGAATAAACACCTGTCAGCAGGAAACTGTAAACCTCAGGCCTCTCTCATGAACTTTAGTTTCAGGAAACCCTTCATACCCCAATTAATACAATTCGGGGTTAGGATCTTCTTACTTTTAGATAAAGAGAAATGTATTTGCTAAAGTCTGTTTTGTCTTGAGTGAAATAAGCAGTTAAAATAAAAAAAATTAAATAAAAAAAACAGGAAGATTTGAGGCAAATTGTTTAATAAAATATAATTGCGAGTGGGGGGGGGGGTGCAAAGTTAATTAAATTACAGTTATAATTGAGTCCTGATGATTTTTCAGTAGCGCATCTCTGTTCAAATTCTGAACTTATCCATATCTTTGCTTCCTTTCAGATGTTAAATTTTAGTCCTATAAACTAATCTGAGATTATTTTTTTACATCCTTAATAATGAAGCAGTGTTACAGAAATAATATTGCTAATTTATTAGAAGAAAAAAAAAGAATTTAATGGTTAGAAATTGTATTGAAACAACAGAGAGATATGTAAGAGCAGGCGCACCGTCTGTTTAAAGTTCTGGGTGATTCTGAGATAATTTAGAGGCTTTTGGAGGCATCAAAGATAAATCACAGTTTGAATCGTCGGATTTCACCCCCAAGGAGCCCTTTAAATGCATCTAAACTTAATTAGATCCCATGTGTGATTTGGTGGAGCAGTGTGATTAATCAGCTAATGAGGCCGCTGTGAAGGTGCCAGAAAGCATCGGCAAAGATGTTTATTCAAAGAGGAGACAACTTTATTTGTTTAGACCCCAGTAAAAAGTTTTCATCAATTTTCTAGTTCAAAACGGAGAAGGTTTTTGCTTGTTTGTTTGTTCGTTTTTTGCGGATAAACTGAGTTAAAGAGACAATATTACATTAAATGAGTTGAAAAATAAATTGTAAGTAAAAAATAACGTATTTCATATAATTGTAAAACAAATCTGCTACAGTGCTTTAAAAATAAAAACTGAATCATTTTGATTAAAATTGAACGTCATGCAGCAGTTTAACAAGAAACACCTGTTGCGCTTTGAGTCAATATGGAAATCCAAAATATTTAAGGAAATCCTTATCATAAGAAAAAATGTGATCATTTTTTTTTCTTTTTAATAACATGATAAATAAAAAGAAATAAAGACTTACCACTAAAAGTTGAGTTTAATTGGTTTTCTCCCGCAGGGACGCAGTAAATATGAAAGCCCGTGTGGCAGCTGTCTGAACCCGGACTGGAGCGTCAGTGAGCCGGCTGGAGCAGCAGCATTTCCCAGCTGCCTCAGTCTGTTCTCTGCTGATCTGACGTGTTTGGTTCGGATCTTTTCTGCGCTCAGATGTTCAGGCACTGTGGTGTTCACGCCTCTCCGCTCTGCCTCACTGTTCTGCGCTCTCTCCTCCTGTCGGCCGCCTCTTATCTCAGCCCACAGTCCAACACCTCCTGGCACGTCACACAGCCAGCCCATAAGCTCAGCACCGTCCGACAGAAAGCATGCACAGCTGGACATTGAGAAGATGCGCTCCTCTGAGCTGGGTTGGCTCTTGGTGCGGCCAACAGAGCGCGCGCGCGCTTCTGCACTGATTAAAAGCGCCATTAGGTGATAAAAACTTGGGGGGTAAATCCATGTTCCATCTTTTTTATTTATTTATTTATTTATTTGTCCATCTGCAGCTACATTTGCACATGTTATAAGAATTTTATTGACTTTTTCTCACATCAGCAAAGCACACGCGTCCGCACGCCCCGGTGCAGAAATGTTTGAGAATAGCGACTCCTGTGGGCCTCATAGCTCCCAGCAGCAGAAGCCTGATGGATTTATTTTCAGTTAATGTCAAACTTAAACAATTCAACAGGTGCATCTCAACAAAACAGAAAACAATTGAGAAGAAGATGCGTATAAGAAAGTTGCCCCAAAAAGTCAGGGTTCTAAGCTATAAGATAAATAGTCATTACACACAGAGGGAGGTGTTTTTAAGCATTTAATCCACGTTTTTGAATTACATTGGACACCAAATATGAACATGAGAATAATACGAGTAATAGTGAGTTTTTAGTCTGAATCACTTTCCATCTGAAACAATGGTGTTTTTTTAAGGTGTGTGCCTTAAATGCTTTGTCATTATAGTGACCTTTGATCAGCCTGTGGATGCAGGTTGCTCAGAAAGTGACTTCATCAGCATTATTGGCTCTGGAGTCTCTCAGCTTCCTCTGGACAACATATTTTCTTTAGGGTTTAAAATAAGATCAGTGCATCTATTGGATGCTGTGGCTACCCAAATGACCTCTGGGAATAGACCCTTAACACTGGACCAAAATTTAGGAAGCTCCCGTCCACCAGTTTCTATTCTACATCATCCAGGTAACTGACATCGCCTTTGGTTCAGGAATGACTGAATTCCTGAAACTAGTTCCAATTGTAACCAAAGCCCACCATACCTCTCCCTACAATTCTTAGGCTTTTACAATCCTTTGAAGTATAGAGTCTCTTGTCCTAGATTTTCAACCATACTGTTAATTTCTCCAAATTCTTCATCATGAGCATGGATGCAGAACGTGGATATCCTCCTTGCAGAGGCTTTAAATAAGTGTCTCCCTTACAAATGTGTGTAATAGATCTACAGTTTTGAGTTGAAATACAGAAATAAATTGGCTTTAAGCATCACTAGATATTTATCTGACAGCTGAGCAAACTACAGAGCACTTAAAAGTAATTAGTCTAAACATTCAGCAAGTTATTTTTTACAGTAACTAGAAATCAGGAAAATCATGCTTTTGCAATACTACTTTTAGTCTGAATTTATTTTTCTTCCATATGATACATGAGTATTTTTTTCTGCTTTATAGCTTTTGACATAGTCCTTTTGGAATGATGACTTTAGCCAATGGTACATGCTGCTTTAGCTTGTTATCCAATTTTGATCCACGTTTTTAAGTTCTATGCCCTGTTTGGAAAACGTCCAGCAAAGCCCTGATGTGATGCAAAGAAAAGCCCCTTTTCATTCTGATGGTTTCACTTAGTTTCAATGCATTAACCATCCTAAACCCAGGCAGCATATTCTTGGAAAGAAACATGAGGCACCTATATACTTTATTTAGAACAGATGAAAGTTCTGAAATGTTTATACAAAGCAGCATAGAGCTACAAAGAAGGAACACTGATTTCAATGTTGTAGCAAAATGAAACAAAAGGACGTTTGTGTAATCTTGTGGATTATCTTGAATAAGATGATAAGATGCATTGGAACAGCCAAGCTGGAAAATAAAGCTTTTAAACCAAATGAACGTTAGAATATAGAAATGTAATAAAAGGCGGGGGAGAGTATTTAGCAATCTTACCACCTGATGGATACCTTTTTTGTCATCTTCAGTCCAATGCTAACCTTTCTGACCTGGATAACTAAAATGCGAGTTTAATGAACTCAAATACTGTGAAATGCCTCAAAACACCATGTTGATCTTTTCCTTCCTGCATTCCATGTGTTTGTTACATGGCCTGTATTTGTATAGTGCTTTTTAAAGTCAGGAGTCTTGACCAAAGTGCTTCATACTACATTCAGTTATTCACCCATCCATGGGCAGACTCACACACTGAGGATGGCAAACTACATGGTAGCGACAGCTGTCCTGAGGCTTACTGACAGAAGCAAGGCTGCTGTGCACTGGCACCACCAGTAGGCAAAGTGAAGTGTCTTGCCCAAGGACACAACGACACTTAAAGGCAGAACTGGGGCTTACAGTAAACCGACAACCCTCCGGTTGCAGGGCAAACTGCTGCATCCAAAGCGACTGATGTCACCATCAACATGAGAACAGTCCAAACAAATTCTTCGGACTTTTCTCCCTGCTGCCCTCTGACAGGAGACTTTGAAGCATCCAATGCAGGTCCAGCAGATTCCAGAACAGTTTCTTCCCATCTGCCATTAGACTGCTAAATGTTGTATAAAATACGGTTTATAAAAAAAAAAAAAACTGAATGTTGGAAACTGTAAATCATATACAGTCGTTTACATTCTATCACTGCTGCACTTTAAAAATGAAAACGTCTTGAGATCTGCACTGAACAAAATTTCTTTTTGTATACACTGTGTATACAAAATGACAATAAAGTCTGTCTAAGTCTAGGTTGGTTGTACATCATACAACCAACTCATGGTTAAATCCACCAGCACCTTCATCTTTATTTCCAAACCCCTGTAACTTTCATGCTCATGCATTCACTGCTTCTTCATTCATGTCTTGTCTACCCTTGCAGACTGAGACGCTGCACATTTTCCAACTTTATTAACTGGTTTCTCTCATACTCTCCTGTCCCTGCTCAGCCAGTCTGATTAGAGCTGCAAATTCTTTTGTTTCTCAACCTTCCTGTCTTCCACCTTTCTGTATGATCTTCAGATCAGTGAAATTCTTTGTTTTGTTAGTAGAATTAATCATATATATCTCCTGCAATAAACAATGTGTTCATAAACGTTGGTTAGAATCATGCAAAGTTGATGTTTCACAACTGTCAGCAGAAATAAAAGCTGCTTTATTAAGCAATAGTCTACCGGTTAGCAAGCAGTTAAGATGTGAAGAAGAGAGTTTAGCTCTGAGTTTGTGAGCAAACTCAGCTTAAACCAAAGGACAATAGGTGGCAGCTGAACAACAGTCCCATGGTCTCTCCCTGGTGAGCTTTGCTCCTCACCCTGCCGAAGCTTAGGCCTACCTGGCGCGTTTCATCTCTTTTGTTTGAGTCCAGGCCAGTGCGCGATGAGAACGTGTAATTTTACGATCACATGAAACCACAGAGGGTGGTTGTTCGTAGAAACCAAAACACCATTGACTCACACTGGAACTATTTGGGATTGGAGCTGCTTTTGATTTAGATAAAATTAGGCCTGGTTGCAGGTGCACTTTTGTGCATGCAAATACACAAGTGTGTTTAACACATACTTAAAGACAGCACACTACCGCGGGCTCTGGGCTTATTCCTCTATGATTTCAGCATTCCTGCAGTAACTGCTTCTGCTGGAGAGCAGATTTTTATAGGTTTAGAACTATTTTATACCGTTCTCAGGATCACAATGTGCAGGTTTAATTTGAAAAGTTCTATATGTGCGCTGGACCGAAGAAATATAATGTGAAAGTAGGTGCCAAGACCATCATGTGTATGCTGTGGGTGTTTTTTTTTTTAAGGGGGAGCATTATGAAAGCAATTATGATGTATTTTTCACCGTGGCAAGAGGGAAGCCAGCTTACAGCATCCTTAGAAACCTGAGAAATGGAAAACTTGAAAATAAACCCAATCCAAGTAATTCAACATTCCAATGTAAATGGTTAACCAAAGTATGCTGCTTGATAATATTAGTGTTAATTTGTTAAACTAAAGGTGGTTTCACATTTATAAATATTTAATTAAAATGGGAAAGGATTCATTGCTTTGAAACCATTATTGTCCAGTTATAACACAAAAGACCAGTATAGTTGTCTCTGGACTGAATAATAAGAATCATACTATGCCTTGAAAAAATACTTGTTTTTCATAATCTTCTATAATACAAACTCTATACTGCAGAATAAGGTATCAGAAGCCTTCCTTTGAGATTTCTGCCAATACTAACATGTTCATCTAACCTAATTGGTGCATATCTTTTCTGACATTTGTTGTCATTTGTTTGACCAAATCCCAAAGATGCTCAGTGGGTGATTGTGACAAGCCCAAATGTAAAGATTTGAGCATGCAGCTCTCATATATACCATGAAACCTCTTAGACATCTGTTTAACCCACATTCTGTAAAGTTTGTACAGTCTAACCACCACCCCTCATTCAAACATGGGCTGTGACTCATATGAAGATCCATCAGAAGCTCGTGATGCTGCCTAATGAGTGTATAAAGCATCCTCTGTGTGTGAAGATCTTCAGTCTCTCTTCTAACTGATGCTCCAGGCATTGCCTGATGCCACAATTATGCCATCTGGTGGCTGTTGTAGATTTTACCAGGTGCACCTTCGCAGTCATCCATCACTCATTAATACAAAATAGAAATCAGCTGGACTGAAAACATTCAAAAAAAGAATTGCCATGTCCATTTCTGAACTAAAGCAGCCTTTCAGATGAGAAATGAAACACCTTCAAGAATCAAGACATGAATTACACTAGCGTTCTTCTTCTTCACTGAGGATTGCACTAATTCAGCCTATTTGGTCTTTTCATTTTCTACTCCTTGAAAAACTTTTCTAAATCCTTCATCATCTGAGAACTGTAGGTTGTTTTCTGTTTGTTTGTTTTTGTTTTTTTGCCATTTATTAATGCATTTTGAGGGTTGTATTTATCTTTAATCAGTATTGAGCCTAATAAGTTTGTTTCTCAGTTAATTTATTCTTGATGTCATTGATAACTACTACTTGTTCATTTTTCTCATAGTCTTGTTTAAGCATTGAGGAAATTTCAGCATCAGTCAGTTCA